GTCTTAGCAACTTTATTTATATCAAAGTAGCACAGAGTATGGTGCGATATGCTAAGCGAGTTCGCCGACCTCCACATAGAGTACACAAGAGTGGCGTGATGTCGACCTTGGCGCCACGAGCGGCTGTGGCGGCCTGAGGAACTATTTTTATCTTCCGCCTCCGCCACCGCCAGCATTGTTGAGGTAGACTCTGTATCGCTCCGCAGCCAGCACTTCTCGTCTGGGATCATTCTGTAGTACAAAGCACGCGGCTTGGAAAGATATTGTATTTTATTCCATTGGATTTTGGATAGTGAAGAAGACATCACATCTTTAAAATAGATCAACTGTAGCCTATTAAAAAAACATTATTGCATGAGCCAATCACCTAGTTTTAGTGCAAACAGTGCATATGCACTCTGGACTACCATACCTAACCTATAACGATAACTATCCAAAAGAATGGCAAACCCATACGGGAAGTTTATTATGGTAATTCTATTTAACTTGTAAATTGATGCAATTAAAATGAACTTTGTTACGGATTGACGAATTGTACATTGTTATAACATGACTATACCTACTAAAGGTAAAAATCTGTAAATTTAATAAAAACTTATTGAATTTTTGAATTGATTAACAAAATTAAACGTGGTATTTACAACAGTAAAAAGTCAAATTTGTCATTTTCAAAAAGTGCTTTTAAAATGTCCTACGTTGATTCAGTAGTCAACATTTTTATGGTAACATATGGATGGTGTATTGTTAGTTCTGGAATCATGACGTATATCGGACCATTTCAGTGAGTTCCTATTGGCTGAAAAGATCACGTGATGTATCTGCACCAATCTCCCGTCGCGATTCCCAAATCTAGACCGAGTCCAGAGAGATTTTATCCCAATAAAGGGATATTTCACCTGTTTTGGGATAACATGAGATTTTTGTGGTTTGCGGCATAATTGGAAGTGGGATAATTTGTCTAATTATATGTAGAACCTCGATAACAAGACTCCCATGGGGATTATTAAATAAATTTTAAACGAATTAGAAGAATAATATAAACAGCCAAGTCTTGTTCAACTTCTCCAAGTCAACCGTCTGCATATCCATCAATTACCTAAGTAAACTTCTGTAACTAATGGAATTGGAAACGGTTAACTTAGTTAAGTGAGTTCTTTAAAAGTTGGAAGTTAGTAACTTATGTATGCAATGCGTTTACAGTAAAGTCAACCAAGTAAACCATTGGTTAAATTAAAAAACTTGGTAACATGGATGATTCATTAAAATGAAATATTTAGGGACTTAGAAACATGAGCCTCTTTTAGTAAGGTTTCAAAAGTTTCTTTGTAAATATTAGATTAAGATTTAAAACAATGTGTAGAATTTGAGCACAGTTACATGATTTAAAACCGACCGACATGGCACGTCCCTTGCATTTTCCAAACGAAAGTAAGTGCATGGTAGTAATTGATGTTATTATGAGAAAAATTTCAATCTTGATGATATTTAAAGAGATTATTTTAGTACAGAGACGTAAAGCATCACATTGTCTTTTATATTGCTCTTAAAAAATTCACAGTAGTAACTAAAGATTATTGTTGGTATTTTGGTATTAAACTCATTAAATTAGTAATAAACTTGATACTATATAAAAAAGAAACAAAATCGTTTAAAGAAACTAAAATTTAATGGTGGTAGTTTTGGTAAGTGTAGTAGCATTATGTTACTCACAGTATTTTGACGGTGAGGTAAGTGAAACAAACTGATTGTGGAGCATTTCACATCGTATTCAATTTCTTATAATTTAAAATTATTTACTATCAGTTACTTTTAAGTCACAAAAAAATACGTATAGCCTATCCAAACTGAAGTTTTAATCACACATGAATGAAAGTAGCAGGCTAAATTGTTTATTGCCATTAATTTAGTTAAATATTGCCAAAATTGTAAGTTTCCTTAAGAAACATTTATTTTCCGTTTATCTTACGGCAATGTATATAGGCTTTTCAAACATACAAGTTTGGTGAATTTAATAACATGTAAGATCAGTTATTTCCTGTAAACACGATTTTAGATAAAACCAAGAGTAGGCCTATACTTTAAAGAGCTCATAGTTTAGAAACTAAGTTCAGTTTGAAGAAGTTGAAAACTTTCGCAATAAAAGCTGAAGCACAACATTTGACGCTAATGTAACTTTTTACATTTCTAACTTTTTTCCGAGTTCAATAAAAGGAAGAATATTATTTATTGTTTTTCACAATTATTAAATAAATAAAGCACACTCGTTTAATTCAGTGGATTTTTTTTTTTAAGGCTCCAGTTCTCTCAAAGACAAAACAATATAACTTTAAAAGCATTGTATTATTGTTTGAATGGTAAAATCCTGATCGTAAGTGCTTACGATTGTGTAAATAACAAATGAATGAATTGAAATGTAATAAAACTAAATAATTACAACAGTCTACGTATTTGAAACTGTATTTTAATTACAACATCACCAGGCCCAATAGGCAAATTACAAGAATCTCAATACGGCGACCCTTATATACTATTGGCTACAGACAGTAGGTACCGACTGAGAAGTTTCTATAAGTTCAACTGGGGTAAAAATTCACTTGTTCATTAATCAGTTTATTTCTATTTTTACATTTTTCCTTGATGCTGATGAAGATATTATTTAGTTAATTTATCTAAATTAGGTCAAAAACTAACCAGTAAGGCAATTCAAAGCAACAATGCATTGAGCCATTTTTAACTCTGTTGGACAAGTACAGTAAACAGAAAGTTGAGAAAGTTTGTGGAGGTAAAACAGTTATCGCCCTACTGGACCAGACACTTTGGGCTTTCTATTGATGCTTTGAGAGTTTTCATTAACTATTTGCATTTCAAATTCTCCTTCATTAAATTTTAAATATGTATCTTAAAAAAAAAAGTTTGTTGATAATTATTTTTTTTTTTTATTTTAACAAGAAACCATAAAATGGTCAAATTTTTTTAATAAATGAAAAAATATCAATTTTCTTAAATTTTCTTAAACTTTTTAGTGTAACGGTGAAAGAACATTGCAGGGAATTTATAATAAAAGCTAAACACTTTTCTTAAGTAAATACATCATAAGGCAAATGTTGCATATTTTATAGAAAAAATAATGTCGTTAAAATTCATGTAAATGTTTTCCCCTAAAACAAACTACATATTCGTTTAAAATCCATTGTAAGTTTTACTGTTCATAATGAAATGATTTTTTTCAGTGTTAATGAATTTAGCATTTTTCATAAACTATTTACAAACTCTACTTTAAAGTAGTTTTTTTTTTTTTTTTTTGTAAAACACTAAGCCCTGTGGATTAGACATGAATCTTCACAACAATTGCGTTGGAGCAAACGATTAGTTTTAAATTGTAATGTCCTTATCACTGTAATTTTCAACGCCAATAAAGCTAATGATTAAAACAGAAACACTTTATTACAACTGTTAATCTTCTAAGATTAAATTGTATCTCCATTCTGAAAAGTCATGACAAAAAACTAACAATGCTCCTGTAATAATTATGAAACTGTGCCATTGCTTGCTGAATTCATTCTATTGATTTAAAACAATTTAAATACTAATTGTAACTTATTTCATACCTATATTAAAATTTTGACCAACAGTAATTTTATTTTCAATTAAATTACATGTTTTAGATACTTTTTTATCGCACATAATTACGATTCACAAAATTCTCACAATTGCACGTTTAAAATAATAAATAAAAATGCATATCATATACATACTATTCCATAATAAACTAAGTAGGCCCTAATGCCATGTGAATTTTTAAATACAATATTTTGATAATTTTAGTGAAAAAGATACTTTATGTGTATGTAGTAAAAGAAGGGTATTTCGTCTCTCAATCAGAGAATTTGAGAATATACATGTCGGATGTATCACAGCCAACTCGATTTAAAGTTTGTTATTTCTCCCAAGAGTGACGTCACTCTATTCATACTCTGCTACTGTCAGGTTGTTGTTGCTAAAACACAATTGGACCCTATCCCCTTTCCCCTTTGAGTCTGAAATAATATATTTAAATAAAAAAAAGATTGATGTGAATAAAAAAATGTTTAACATGTTTTACGAGATCTGTATATAGTCATAGGGAGTACCTTGGGGAGTAAAAGTCAGCTGTTGGTAAACTTTGTTGTAAGCTCCGATAATAATCAATTACACGTTTCTCAAATATAATGGTATAATTTACTCTAGCACATCCGTGATACCCGTGATGTTTTAACCATTAAATAACAGCTGTTCAATTTAAATTTCCAAATTTTGGACAAGCTGAATGTTGTTTTAGCGGTAATCATTACATGTGATGTATTTCCGCCTTCTAGCTTAGTTTGTTAAATAAATTAACGATATAACAAATAATATAGTTAATCACTAAGGGAAAAATAATTGTCTTTTTAACCAACACTCATTTTCCAAACTTGGCTTCGCCTCGATCGTGAAACTTGTGCTTGGGTCGAAAGGAGTCATTTTACGCTCTAGTGATTAAATATACTATTTCACAACATTCAGTTCAACATTTTTAGATGGTTTGATGGGGAAGTTCTCCCCCACTAGCTTTTTTTAATGCGTGATAAAGATGATTAACTTTTTGGAAAACCATATCTGTTGAGCTTTTCTTTCAATGGTAGAGGTGAATAAAATGGATTTCTTCTTCTAAAACCACCATAATTTGTGTAAACTATAAATTATTATTATGGGATATAATTATGATAGAAAATGTCCACAATCACCCTACAAATATTGAATAAAAAATTACATAAATTGACCCTAAACAAAAGACTGAACTTTAATTACAATATCTATTGTATTTATTTGTGTTTACTGTACCTATTAAAAAACCTTACTTTGTTAAAGCTTATGTTTGATTAAAGGTTATGATCAGCTTCAATGATCGACAACAATGAGCAATTTTACTTGCTGTTAATCAATGGGAAACGAAATTAGTTACATTGTCAAGCTAACGTAGATTTGATTAGCTTTTTCATTAGTCAACTGATAAACTCATCACGACTATAAATTGGTTGCAATCAAAAAGTCCAGTTATCTTGTACTTTTGTGAAAACTAAGGTAAGGTTTTTCTTGGTCTTATTGTAATCAGTTTGTTAGACATACAATGCAAAGGCTTTTTGATGCAATTTACAATACTCTTTTATTGTAGTTTGATAATTGTTAATATGTTAAAACATTTACCCTCTAATTAGACTATTTAAGCTAAATACCCTGAGCAAATTTAGTCTTTAATTGAAAATTTTACAATTAATAAAGTGTATGATTTCAAGCAAACACATTTTGTAATGTTCTCTTATTTGTAAATAGTTCAAGTTTTCACGCCACAATTTAAATACATCAGTACATTATGACTCAACTAGTCTGTAGTACGTGTTGGTCTATGGTCTAAATCAGGCCAGAATAAATAATTAAATATTGTCAAATAATTAATAATGTTTCATTAGTAACATTTGTTTCAATGGAATTGTTTATTTTTTTTCTTGCATAGTTTATTTTTCTTTATAAGATTTTTTAATATATTAACCTTTTGCATCCAAACATCAAACGATGCAACAGGTCATACACTAAATGAGAAAAGGTAAACTTTCGATATATTATTAAATCAAATGTAATGATTGAATCGTACAGCTAAAATAATAATAATTTGGTTTCAACGGTTCTTTTGTTTAGTGATTAATATGCAATACTATTTATTATAATAAAAGGTGATGTTTTTTCTATTATTGAATAACAATATGCAAGATATAAAACATGTTTTGGCAAATTTCCTAAGTATAGAAAAAGTTTAAGCCGTAGTTCTCGTGGTAAGAGCAGGCAAGTCACTGACATTAACACTATCAGGCAAGTACACTATCAGTACCTGGGGCAGAGTTACTTTTTTCGTTTTGTAGTCCTCAGAGGTCAAAAACATCTGGCATTTAAGTGAATATATATGTGTGCCTGTTATCACTCGAACTAACAATCAAATTTTTATGAAATTTTGTATAAATGTGTAAATCTACATTTTAATCAAATGCATTCACGAATCAGCATAATCGGACTAAGTTTACAATGGTTTATGTGTGATTTATAGGGTAAAGATTTGTTTTATCATTTTTTAACCCGAACTAAATTGCAATTTACTTCTAAATCGTGTAAAAACAAATAATTTATTTTATTGAAGTGTTGTTATACAGATAATTGTTAAGAATAAAAAAGTACTGTAAAAAAAATACTTTATCTCATGGACAGAACTAAATAAATGTTAATTTGGCTGTTATATGATACATTTTTTGGTCATATTAAAAAAATATTTAATTTCCAATAAATTATCAACATATCGCAAAAACATTTCATAACCTTCCCTGTAGCAAACCTATGTCCTCGCTACACAAATATTATTTAAATAGGGAATAAATATATTTTTTTTGTAATGGACGCAAAACCATGGTTAAGAAGCAATTTTCAAAAAAAAAGGATTTTTTAAATTATTATCTTACTCTTATGGACAGTATGAGTAAAAATGTTATTTTACTTATTTGATTGTTATTTTATCTACTGGGATGGTTGCCGTGACACAAGAGGTGCTATAGCTCACGGTAGGTCAGCTTGACTTGGTTAACAAGTATTCATATTCATTTCAACAGAGGTTAGTAATTCACATCAGTATACATCAGTGACTTGCCTAAAATACGTTCATATTTATTTAAAACCGGCCTCAACTGCTAGTTACATTTGTTAATTATTCCAATGTAGCTTTGTTGTCAAGATGAAGCTGTTATTGTTGCTCGCTCTTGTTGCTTTGGGCTACGCAGACAAAATCCTCTACTCCAAGGAGGACGAGTATCAATGGGAGCTCTTTAAGGTAAGGCTTCTTAATATAACTTGATCAAAGAAAATTTATAATTTTCTTGTTTTTTTTGTTTGCGTCAGAGATAGCTATTATGTAAGAAAGATTAAGTGGAGATGTTGATGAAATAATTAAAGTTAGTCCATACCTCTTTGGATACTAAATAAAGCTTCTTTCGGGTAGACTTCCAATCCGTATCCGTTGGCACAAACAACCGAATGAAAATACCGACCGATATGTTGAATAACAAATCGAATAATCGATATTTTTATTCGGTTGTTGTGCCAACAGATACGGAAATCTACACCTTCTTTCTATAAGTAGTTTCAAAGGGATCTATTCAGTCTAATTTATATAACTATTATATAGCTATTTATATAACTTAAACTAAATCTCCAATTTCAGATTGGATATGAAAGAGTATACGCTGATAAGGTGGAAGAGGAAGGTAGGAAGGCAATCTTCATTTGCAACCTTCACGATATCCGTGAACACAACCAAGCCTACGATCGAGGAGAAACTACCTTCACAGAAGGAATCAACAATTTCGCTGACTGGGTGAGATGTAAAAATATCTACTTGGTGTATTGATCCTATATTTATGACATTAGGACTATGGTATGACCGTATGGGGATGGTTTGCTATTACGGGCCCTTAGTAATATCATAGAACTAGGCTAAACGTTAGATATTTATTGCGGCTGTTTACGCTCACAGTACTGGTAATGAAGGAATTAATGAATAAAAAATATGTCAGGCACAAAATTTTTTATACTTTTTTGTTTTTAAAACTGAAACTAGGAACTGGATTCAATAAGTTAGTCAGATATTTTATATTGAACACATGGTTGAACGTAAAATGTTATCAGGCATTATTTGAATAACGCAAACACATAGAAACCACTTTTTCAAGTTCTAAAGGACCCAAAAGAGATATTACCACTCAAGCTCAATCTCCAAATTTTCAATAAAACAATATTTTTTCCATAGGCCTACTAGGTATGGGGATGGATAGTGAAAAGGAGAAAATCGAACTTTAACAAAAAAACATCTGCAAGATTCCCATTCGAAGATTTTGCGTAACGATTTATTTTATTTGGGCCGTATCGAATTAATGTTAATTCACTTTTCATAAGTCAATGGAATTTTATAAATGACTTAATTGTGTTTAGACCGGCGAGGAGATGAAAGAGATGAAGTGATACTGCCCGAGGAGAAGCAGAGCTAAGTAAAGGAGAACTGGTGTTGGTGGAGGATGTCTGGGGAAAAAGTCACGTCTGTATGCTTATGGTAAAATAGAACGGTCCAAGACCTGGTTTTGTTACTGTTTTATCTCCTTTTTGATATTTACCATAATTTATTGTCATTAAAATGATGTTAGTCATGTAACTGAGTGCTGTAGACCTTTTTACATCCTGTATCCGTGGCCAAATGAAAAATAGTTCCTGGTCCAGAAACGATCTTGATTTTAATACGATCTTCAGTTTCATCTAAATTTGTGTCTAGATATCGTTGGTTATTTATTCGTTACTATTTGTCACTGGCATATACTGTAACAAAACAATAATAGAATGAAGGAAAGAGCCCTAATATATCCAAAGATTTTGTTTATAAAAAAATATTAAATTACTGAGAGGCTTTTTGCACTATATTTGTTACCTTTACTGACTTATGTCTGAAGTGAGAGGTTAACAGGTTATCTAAAATATTTAATTAACATTGTGCTGAAAATTACAGAAACTATAGTTGCAAGAAATATTAAATTAAAACAAAGAGGTAAATTTAAGACACTAAACACTTTGAAATTCAGGTTTAAATTTAAGGTATTTAGTATTGAAAATTATGATGATAGTATGCATAGTAAAGTGCTTTAAATTATGGTTACTAATATATTAAAAATTACTGTTACTAACTGTCATGTTATTTAGTTTAAATATATAACTATACATCTGATAACTGAATTTTGGGATAAATTTTAAAATTACAATCCTTTACACCGAGATATCCTCCCCGTGTTCAGTGATAAGGCCTACCTCGAACAGGATAACAAGTAGTTATACTTCACGTACAATATATTAATCTCTTATCGTAACCATACTTTAATACTTTTCAATGAAATGGCGACCATACAAAGTAGGTATTTTAAGCCAAGTATGAATGGAGTTGAGTGTAGGATCTGTGAAACGATCTTGTAGTCTTTTTAGTAATAAAGGCCTACATATTCCTTATACACAGCTCTTAATTAATAATCCTTACAGCGAATGGCAACTAATGGACCTACAGCTTTTATAGTGGAATCTGGGCCACATTTTTGCCTTGGTATTAACGAATTGGTCTAATTATCATGATAGTACTGCGGATAGTCGTAGTACTCACTAGTGCGGACGTTAATCCACACCAGGGAGTATCGTATCAACAGTGCATGCCTATTAATAATCCTCCATTGTAACTAGATCTCAATAATATATGACATGTCCTTCACAAGGACATATCCTTTAATCAGGACCAATATTAAAATGCATTTTTGGACTTATCTTGTCTCATCATCTTCTATCCAAATATATTATTGTTATCGAATGATCTTATCTCATGATCCTTGTTCATAATTTATTGTATTTCAGTCACATGTTTAACCATACATCGTTAGGATTAACAGTGTTTTCATGCAATCCACTGTTCGAGTCCACCAGATCTAATTTATTCACCACACGATCTAATATCGAGTTTCTAATCCACAGATAATTGGTTTACCGGATTACAGTAGTGTGCCAACCTACTGAGCAATGTGGTTTCCTTTGACGATCTTAAGATGTTATATATTCAACGATTTAACTTAGGTAAAATGTCAATCACTAAATTCACAAATAAAGATTTTTATGTGTGAAACCTTTTCACCTGATGCAACAAATACACAAATCAAGAAAAATTTTCAAGATATAACTCTTATACATTTACTTACAGATACACTTGTTGAAGATCATATTTTTTATTTCTTGACCGTAATAAACAACCTGTTCATAGTTTTTTTACTACGCTATGTCATCATTGCAATAAAATGTATGCATGATTTTAATATTTGATAAATTATGATTATATTTTGATAAAAAAAGTTATACTGCAAAAACAGCAGATACTCTACTCAAGTTCCAAATAAGAACTTTAAGTATGGTGTCAGCTTCAAAAAAGAATTTAATGAAGTTTTTTAATAAGAACAAAACCATAGTTTGCATCAAATGTAAGTAGATTTTCGATTCCTAAATTTAAATATATTTAACCCTAAACACTTAGGCCAAATGATAGGTTATCCAAATAATAGTTTTTGTAATCTGTGGAAATGTAATCTACTTATAGTCAATTTACGTTATAGCTCTGCTTTTATAGTGTCGAGTGCTAAATTGTAGACAGTTATCAAAATTTCTAATATAAAGTTTTTTTGTGTAATGCTATCTTGCTATAGGGTACTTTTACCAGCTGTAATATAGCATATTCACAAATGAATTTTTTAACCAAATTGAAAAGTTATTTAAATAAATGAAATAAGCAACTATTTTTCAATGACATTTTATAGTGTCAATATTAACATTAAATATCCAAATGCTAAAATAATATTAAAGATCCATGTTGTATCCGTATTATGTTTAAGAAAACTTCGAACCGAAAACAGATTCTTACAAAGTTCAGTACAACATTTTAAAAATGTAAATATAGGTAGAAGAATAAAACTCATGACCGTTAACGATTAGAATAAACACAAACTATTATAAACAACAAAAACTGTATTTGAAATTAATTTAGTCAGATGTAATATGCATGGTGTACATTGGACGCTCAAATACCAGTGCAGCGTCTGAAGAACTCTGCTTTAATCATGCACAAACAAACGACTACACAGTGTATTTGCTAATTGGCTTAGTGACCATCCGAATACATGGGGTTTGAGCTTTCTAACCTTACAAAGAAACCCTTTAATTGTTTGCATTCTTGCAAATTTAATATTAGGACAAGTAAATATATTTTTATTTGACGGAATAGTTTATTAAATAAAATAAAGGAAGTTGACTATATCGATAGTTTAAGATCGTCGAATGACACACACTCAAATGACTAAATTCTATTCATTAATTCATTTCCAGAAGATTTTAGATGTACCATTACCAAATTTTATTTTACAAATACATAATTAAACTGTGTTTTCTTAACAACACACTCAAGTAATTTAACACATCTTTTAAGACAAATCACGAATAACTAAGTCTACTTGTTTTGCAATTTAGCTGTAAAATACCCTTTTCACTAATATGAAGAGTAAAATAGGTTGATGTATTTACTTGGAACATTCCAGTACTCATTGCGCACAGACAGTATGTTGAAGTAGAAAGTGTGAGTAAATGAGAACTGTAATGTGATAGTCAGCTAAATGATACATCGTTCTGCTGACTAATGACCTTCATCCTGGTAATTATACTTCTTTCAGCCTCCGTCCCTATGTACAGGGTGTCCCCGAACTCTACAAAAACAAGTATAATTTCTAAAATTGTCGATGAGTCAGGTTGCTATTTATTAGTAAATCTTTAAAAATCAATTCCGTATTATCTAACACATAATTCTTTAGTTCATCTATAATTTATTAACACACTAATTTTTTTGTAAGACATCTTTTTAAATATTAAAAGAGGTATGATGCGCATACTTGTACAAGAAACCAATGGACTTTTTCATTTATACATTAATGGAGGCACTGGCAAGGAAACGAGAATTTAATGAGTCTCCTTTTGAAGATTAGATTATCTACACTAACGCGAACCTATTACAGTCCGTTATCTCAAGTGTAATATTACTTAACAGAATGAAATAACATTGATCTAATACTTATATTAAAATAAGTACCTTTTCAATGATGAACTTAAAAAAAAAAAAAAAAACAATAGTGACCTAGCGAAAATATTTTTCTTAAATTTATAATCCGTTATATTATTAATATTTTTTTTTAAATGTTTATTTTTTTTTTGTTATAGTATTAATTATTTAAGTATAATCTTCCTTATATTTCCGAAGTGCATTGGGGTTCATCGTGGCCCATTAATAAATATAATTTAATATTAAAATATCTTTTAAAAGTGAAGTTTAATGTTTGATAGGAAGGTCATTATTGTTATGCTATCCTGGGTCTATATTTAAAAACTCAAATACTAAAAAAATAAATTTAAAATATAATACCTCTCATGCTTACAGGAACTTCTCAAAATAGTATTTCTTTTGCAAATATTTCGTAATTCAATTTAGTTAAAAAACTTTGTTTCTTGACAAAAAATGGGTTAGTAATGTTAGTTTGTTTTGTAAAAAAACAACAACTGACAGCATTACAAACATAGAAAACTCCAAAGTACCCTTTTCATTGCTATCATCGTCTTAGTCACCTCTCTTTAAATTGTTCATTAGCGGAGTACCTAATTCACCATTGGGTCTATCAAATCCCGGGTGCAATATGATACGATTAACATTCTATTAAACCTGAGGAAGGAGCTGGTCTAGGGTAGAGCGCGGAACTTCAATCCCCAAGGTCCTGGGTGTTAATACTGGCCAGTTCAAAGGATTTTTCTCAGTTGTAATGTCGCGACCTCTATAGACCTAGCATGAAAGACTGTGGGAGACAATTTTGGGCTAGAACGGTGAAGATTAATTAAAATAAACCCCTTTAAAACCTAAATGTTGTTAATGAAAGCGTATATTTCCACAACGGGCATTATTAATTTCAATCTTTCCCAGATGCAAATTTAACATCGTAAACGTTAATAACTCCGAGTCCAAGAAATGAGATATAGATACCATTAATTGTTTAATGGCTAATTCGCATTACTCCAAGCATTTGCTGCCTTTACGACTTGTCATGTTGAGGGTTTATGTTTAAAATTGCCATCACTATTTTGTTTTAATTCTTCAGGAAATAAATTTACATAAAAGTCCATTTGTATACATTTATATTTTTATTGGTTTATACGACACTATAAATTCATGGCGTGTATAGGTGATACAGTAAACCCTTGATAACAAGACTCTTATGTGGGTTGTAAAATAAGACTTGTTATCAAGGTTGACTTCTTATTGAGGTTGGCAATAACATGTGATAAATGGTAAAATAAATTCAAGGGGATTTGAAAATTACTCTTGTTATCAAGGGTGACTTGTTATCGAGGGTCTTCTTATCGAGGTTCCACTGTATTCTTAAAATTGTTGTCTAATGGATTTTTTTATGTTTCGAAAGGGAACTGCCCAAACCCTGGTCTTATTGTTACAATCAATCGTCGACCTTTTTGTTGGATAGCATTATTAGTTAATAGCCCAATGACAATTAATGGCATCTGGTCAAATGTAACAATACAATCAGTGTTTCCCTTCGTGGGATTATAATCCCGAAACCGGGACTTTTAAGACCTTGAGCGGGATTGAAACAGGATGCAAGATAAAACGGGATTTTCGGCTGTCACGACTATTTTTTATTTTTTTCTGCTTAATTTTAGAGAAAAACTAACTCCAATTGGTTGAAATACTGTAGCAAAATATGATAGTAAGGTTTAAACAAATTTGCAAACATGATACGTCAAATATAATACTCGGGGACGGGATTGAACAAAAAGAATCATGCGGGATAAAACAGGATTTTTCACAATTTAAAAGCGGGATTAAACGGGATTTCTTGACCTAGTAAGTGGGATTATTTTTTGGTCGTGTGGAAACACTGAATACAATATGTCATCAGTACTTAATGTATTAATTATTGGCCACTAATCGACTAAAGATTTAAACTCAAATAATATTTTTTTTTTAATAACCAAGAAGTAATTTTAATCTTTATTTAATGGAGTAACTGAAAACACGTTTCAAAGGGAGATTATACTTTTTTTTAATAAACCCTAGGCAGGGTTATTTTAAATCAGGCATCTTTGGCTATAAGCGAATGATATTCCAATTCACAATATTAGATAACATAGAAAATATAAACACGTTTTTTATATAAATAAATATAAACCCTTTTAAACAATATACTATTTAAAACACAGCTAAATGTACAAACGAGTAGAATCTGTTATGAACTTTTGTTTTGACACTAAAATTTTACATCATAACTGCATTTACGTATATCACAATTTAATCTCGAAAATTATATCAAACCCCCTTAATGATGTTATGCTGATTGCTGAAACTGCAATGTCGACAACGCGGTTCCAATTTTAGCACATTCGCATGTGAATTTATCAGTAAACAACATCCACAACAGTACGTATCAAATGAATGAGCTAAGTAGTAAACAACAACAACATTACTACGTAGTGGGGGCTCGCCTTGAGGTTATAAAAGCAACGAGAACCACCAACTGTCAGTTAGTTGGTGGAGAATAGTGCTTTAGAACAGTAACAGTGCAACTTGTCAATTGTTCGTTGGTTTTCGCGAATCAAGTGAATTCATCTGAATAGTGACAACCAAGTTTAGTGTTTTTTTTTAACTACCCAATTGTAATAAATAATTCCAAAATTCTCATCTTCACGAAAATGTCTCTCAGCAAAGGGATTTCGAAGTACAGGAGGTGTACTTGTTTGAGTAGGTGAGTAAAATTAATATAACTGAAATGCATTTTTGTAATTTCTTGATATTTCCGTCAAGAGAATTTTATCGTGTACCTAGTAATAAACAAAACCCTCGCCGCAGCAAACCTGCAGACTTAGCGAATTTCCATTTGCCTCATTGGATTTACACTAAAATGTCTCCTTAAATATATCACATTTATTACCTACTAGCTGTGTACCCGTTCTACGCACGGGGATCTTATAATATTCAGTTGAAACCTTCTTATATAAAGAACAGCAGTTGGTTTGCATATTTTAAGATATGCTGGCCAAACTATTATACATAGCTTCATTTTATGTTGTTTTTTGTTGTTCCGGATCGGTATGACAATCAATATTGGATTTACACTAAAATGTCTCCTTAAATATATCACATTTATTACCTATTTAAATAGAATTAGTTTAACGAGTACTTAGGTTTGCTGCAACAGGGAGGGTAAAAGGTGTTTTTTGTTGTAAAATGATAATAGTTTAGTAAGAAATGTATGTATTTTCCAAATTTGATCAAAATATGTTAATAAATAAGCAAACTACAACAGTTGACTTATTCTCCATAAGAATAACATGGGAATTTTAAAATTACAATTTTTTTTTGAATTTTCTCCGTAACACTTAGGCGCATAATAACGCTTCAATATACTAAATTATTTGTTTCTTTAAGCTCTACATAATGGTTTGGAAAGTAATTGTGAAATTTTGAGTTTTTAGGGTCAAAAATTGGAAAAACCTATTTTTACCCCATAAAACCCCCCATAAACCCCCGTTCCCATAGTCGGATTATGCTGGTTCGCGAACCCATTTAAGTTTATCCTGCTTTACACCTTTAAACCAAATTTCATCAAAATCGGACAAAAATTACTCAAGTTATCGCGTTCACAGACACACACATACATATATAAAAACACACATACATATACATACATACATAACATACATATATAAAAATTTTAACGAATTGTGTTTTTGGCCTTTGGAACATCAAAATGAAAAAGTAAATCGGTCACGGGTCTAGGTCTTACCATGCCACCTACGGTAATAGCCTACTATATAAGGAAATTCGTTAAAAGGAATTAAATGTAGTACTAAATATAGGAATTTGCTTTCACTCTAAAAAGCGTTTTCATGGGAGCAAAATAAATTAACAATAAAACTGTATAATTAAAAATATAAAACATTAAATCATGGATTGTAATATTAGTTAATTAATACCTACCGTATGTGAAATTTATTAAAAATCAAACAATTAAAGAACATTGTAATACGATACATATTGCATTATGTATACAGATTTTATGTCGATTTTTGGAGAGCAATATTGGTGAGGATAATGGATAAACAATGTTATGCATTGACAACAATGAAAATACAAGAAGCTCTTCAAGTAGATGGATGACCTTGTAAATGGCGCGATCCCATGACGTCAAATCAGACCATACGACGACAACACTTTCTCACAGCTGTTAGGTTTCAACGATGGTTTCAACCACGTTTCAACCAATAGGATTGCGAGATGTGTTTTTCTACTTCTTCGAGTTCGAGTAGCTTCTGCTCTTGACATTTTGACAGTTAGTTGGTTGGTTTGGTTAGTCAAAGTCAATCGTCAGTTTGTTTGTTTTTTGAATTGGTAACATTTAGATTAAAATCAGGAATTATGTCGAAATTATAATAATTTAGCCTTTACCTCCATAATGGAACTTGCAATTGGCTACGGTGAGTAAAATGCTTTAGTTTAAAATAACAACGTCGATTCTCGGATGTCAGACTTTGGTTAGAACAAAGATCCAATCTGGTCTTGTTTCTATTTTTCATATTAGGCCTTATAAGCAAGTCATTTGTTTGATCAAGGTAGATAAAATAAGTAATGGTCATTAGGGTTCATGTACAAAGTTGATTTCAAACCTAGGTCCATTAAATTATTGCACTGTTAGTTGATACCTTACTAACTTTATTTAGCCTTTTAGTTTCGGCCTACTAAGTTTAGTCCTAGCTTTAACTTTGTTATTGTCCATGTTACGGCACAAACACATCTAGGGTCCTACGTCACATATTGTATGAGTCTTATGCTCTGAACAACAAACATAATTAGGGCCTAAGTCTGTTTCTCAATTATAGCATATTTGTTTCGTTAAAGTGCTATTATCGTAATGCAATTGGCAAACAATCCTCAGAAGCATTCCCAGTACCAACTTAATAGCTAGGCAGAGTAGAGCAGGCAAAACCCTGCACTAAAGGACTGAAACTGTAGGCTAGGCCAATAGAAATGTATGTAATTTTGGTTACTTATATACCTAGTATGGTTGACTGTGGCCTTTGCATACGTACCTAAGTACTATTTTGATATTTTGCCTTCTGATTACTTTTAACTTGTCGTCTGTGAGCAACAACCAAGCATATTCAATTGACCTTTCAATGCTTTTAATTATGACACTAAGTTATGCTAAGCACAGTAACTTAAAAAAACTTAGCCAATTTGTTTAAGCCATGATGTAGGGCTATTTATATTTTTTTAAATATCTGTTTATAAGCTAGTTAAGTAGGGTAGGCCTAACATTTTAATACCTTGATCATTATGCCTGAGTCATTCAATTAGGCCTACCGGTAGTCCTTTTTGGCACTCATGAATAAAGCAACCATACTTACATCAAACAAAGTTGGTAAGTTAACTTAACTTGTGTTATTTTAAAATGGTATTTATGATTTTTTTAGGCATATTAACACAAAGAGTGCCAGTCAACAACAGACACTTCCCTCCACTTCCAAATTCCGTCTCAAGACAAATTTGAAGAATATGTCTTTGAGCCAGTGGAAAGTAATAAACCAGCTGCGTGATTTGATAACCAGGTCACAAAGCGAAAAGAGCAACATGTATCCCCTATCAAAAGAATGGATAAATTTGCTGCAAAAATTTCCACATCTTACTGGTGTCATGCAAACTCTTCCTGTGACAACTAGAAGGAAACATGTGGACCAAAAAGATCCCAACTCACCAGACCGTGTGGATCCATTGAATCAGAGTGACGTCGCAAGTGTAAAGTCAGTCTCGACCACACAAACAATAGATCCTCAACCTCCTGACGTAGGCAGAACCTCAGAACCTTTCCAGGATTATGCTTACGGAGTCATAAAGGGAATCCAGCAGCGACTTTCTGGGGCGCAACAAATAACAGAAAAACCAAACAGCCAAGCTTTAGTACCAAAGTGGAAAGTCAGGACGGATGCAGTGGCTTCCAAGGTAATGATCCAAACCTCACAGTTAAATGATTAGGCTACCTACAAATTGCTGTGTTATTTTTTAAAGTTGGTTGCAGCCTAGTTTACTATTGCTAGAATAGGTAAATGACAATTAAGAGTTTGATAAGAATTTTGACAGCTGTTTATTTCTTTTATTGAATTTTATAGAAATTCAGAAAATTGAAGCAGTTCTCATAAGATTTGTATTGTAATTTTTAATGTCATTTATAGGCTTTAATCTATTTATTTTTTAAATACAAATTATGGTAGTTGGGAGTAAATGTTGTGTTGTAGTTTTTGAAGATCATCCTAGAAAATCATATTGTAATCATCGATTAAAAATATTTTTGCAAAATGTGTCTAGGTCCTGACCTTTTTACAGCTAATATAAAAGTCTTTGATCTTGTCCTTGCATCTTGCTTATCTGAGGTTACATTTATAGGAAAGTGTCAAGTCGAGAACACATCATGTTCTGTCCTTGATATCAACCGCTGAGAATCCACAGTCCAGACTTAAACGAATTGAAGATCTTCTCGCTCATCTACACCAGTTCCCTCAGGCTAAGAGACTTGCAGTGAAGGTAAATTTTATTACAAACTAAAAAATAAACTAAATGTTTTCAATAATCCAGGAAATTAACCCTTGAGTGCCAACGTCCGGGGAACCGTACGTTTTTAGAACGAGCCAAAAAAGCCAACGTCCGGCTGACCGGACGTTTCGTAATGATCGAACAGTTGTCATAACAACCGAATGGATACTCGGATTCTTGTAACCCATATATTAACATTGAGTCGAAAGTTACTAGATGCGATACATCGATTTTCGTTGGTCGAAATATCGAAAATTCGATTTTTACGAAATTTTAACCTAAAAATCGCCAGATCGCGCTCGGCATTTTTAGCGCGACCTTCGGGAAAAATCATCGGCATTTTTTGAGCGTTACTTTTATTTCTCGCCTGGCACTCTAAGGGTTAAAGTTTTATGCCTGGTAAGTTTTTCTAACCATTAGGTGAAGGGTGCAGATAAACCTTTGACAGGATTATTTATTTTTCTGGTTTCATTTCATTTTCCTGTCAACAAATTTGCAAAAAAAATCAAGATGTACCTATCTCATACAAACCATCCATATTCAAATTACAATAAAATAGACCACCCACTTGAATTATTGTCAACTAGGTCTAAAATAATTTAGGGCTATAATAATTTGTCTAAGTAAAACACATGTTTTATAAAGTAGATTTAATAAATCATAGTGTATTGATAACATTCTCAATATGTGAAGGATGGTGCTATCCGGCTGTTACTAAATGTGCGTCACAAGACGAGGGATGAAGCAACACAGTCAGTATTGAGAGAAGCGTTTGCAATGTTGGGCTACGCAGGACCACTTCCTGGCCAAGGTATCCGGATACTGGCGATAGACGGCGGTGGGATCAGGTAGGCCTACATCCATCTTCTATATTAATATATATACCCTAACAGTAACAGGCTATTATTATTTTTGTTAGTTTCTTCGCCAGTTAAACATATGTTAGCAGTAGCATTTTGACCCATAAGCTTGTAAGGAAAGTGGTCCAAATCCCTCAAAATGTGTGGATATGCCATAAGGCCACTCGGCAATTAGGCTAGTGACATACCCTGGACTAGTTAGACCAGAAATAGGGACTTTTTCCAAGAAGCTTGAGTTATAATCACACTAACCACTAATGGAAACCTATTTAACAACCCATCTGGGGCTGGAACCCACCGTAAGCTGTACCTGTATTATTAAGTACTGTTACGTGTAAATTTACAGATTTTCAATGTAGCGTTTTTTATTTCAGAGGAGTGGTGGTCATTCAGATGCTAAAGAAGCTGGAAGAACTGACTGGCCAACCAATTCACATGCTTTTTGACTACATTTGTGGAGTCAGCACAGGGGCCATATTGATGTGTGGAGTCGGTGAGTTACTGATATTTTAAAAACTTAAAAAAAGTGTTGTGATTTTGGAAAGGGAAAAATTTAAATACACATTATCCTCGATCTGCATTCCAAATCTTTGCCAATAAAATGCTACTGGCTAGTTTTCTTCCAGGGGCTGTAACGTCAAAACATGAAAATAATACATTAGGCCTAAATTAAATATGACCCAAAACACAAATAAATATAAACAAAGCAAACATAAATGGCTATCCTACTGTGCAACAAATAATCAAGATAAAGCAGAGTTTTATGAGATATTGTACCTACATACATATATTTTATATATCATCTAATTATCCGGCTGTATAGCTGAGTCAATATAGTGCATGCCACCTATACTCTGTTCACAAAATGTAGGCGGTTGTAGAGGAAGAAATCTATCCCCTCTAAGTAATCTAAAAGTAGAAACTCTACCGTAAAAAAAATAGCTCAACAGTGCTGAGGTTTGCCAAAACTAAGAATTAAGCAAATTAAGCAAAGAAAATTAGTGGGGGAACTTCCCCTCAAACCACCAAAATTTTGTGAACGGACTATAGTTAGAAGTTTGCTGGTTTGATACTGAAAAAGGTCAGTTGTTCTTTATGGATTGAGACTTGACCCAGCGGTCCTTGATCGTTTAATACATGTTCCTGGCCAATGAAATGACTGATCTAAGTCAGAACAAGGCTAGTATCTCATCCTTCACTCGTCTTCACCTCAGAATGCACATCTTGTACGTTGCGTTGTAGAGTTCTAATCTAACGTTTGATCCACAGGGCCTCCACCGGGCAAGACGCTGGACGAGGTACAGAAGATCTACAAGGAGATGAGTATCAAGGTGTTCACACAGAGTGCGTTCTGGGGCACCACCAAGATGGTGTGGAACCACGCGTACTACGACACTTCAGTTTGGGAGGCTCTACTCAAGTCTTACCTGGGCGACAGAAGTTTTCTGGAGACTAACAGAGCGGCCAACTGTCCCAAGGTGAATGTCAAACCTTCACACACTAGTATCTTGCCCGGAACCGTTTTACACGCTTAATCTAAGCTAGGCCTAGAGGTTTGTAGACAGTGTTCGCATACACAGGATTTTTTACCGAAAATCGGGATTTTTAGACCGTGCGAGAGATTAAAACAGGATGCAAGATAAAATGAGATTATAAAAACAAGCTTTAAAGAGGTGTTTAACTGTCAATTGATAAGTAATTTTTAAATGATAACATCAATAATATTGCTTGGGATAGAACAGGATTTCTTACAAAACCCATGCACAAAAAACGGAATTTCCATGACATAAAAGCAGGATTTTTTTGTCGTGTGAAAACACTGGTCGTAGCATTCATAACTTAAAGCCATTCAAAATTTTTGGTATTTAAATCCAAAACCTCGGGGGCTGAAATTGATGGTTGTTTAGGGAATTGGTTTAGGTTTGTGTTTGAGTATTTACAAAGTCCTGTTGGCTATTTTTCTTTAAGAAACTGTAAATTAAGGCCCTTATCTAAAATATAAAATCTAGTTTCTTAAAAAAAAGTTATCAATATTCATTAACCGGAAAATGTTTCAATTTTACTGACAGGTTTTTCCGTTCACTTGGTCACAGTTCAGACAGTGCTGCCAGAAATTATTTATAGAGCATTACCGGTACTAGGAAAGATAAAATTAGGAATGAACTAACTGTGTGAAGACACATTATTTTAAACAAAGATCACTACTGCAGTACTTAGACTTTTGCTACTTTAAATTACTATAGTAAAATAAATTATGGTTGTCAACCAGATTTTAAAACCTTAAGTATAAAATAATGTTGGCTACAAATGAGTCGACAGTGAATGCTAATGATTAAAATACTGAGCTGAAAACAAATTGGTAATTTACAAGAAAGTGTCCAGAGTTGTAAATTTTTCGCATTACACCTATCACCGTTTTCAGATGTCGGCTATATCTGCAGTAGTTAACAAGTCCAATGTGATGCCGTATGTGTTCCGTAACTACTCTCTGCCACCTCAGCGTCAGAGCCAGTACGTAGGAAGTAGCAGACATACACTGTTTGAGGCTGTGCGTGCCTCAGCTGCGGCTCCGACCATCTTTGAAGAGTTTAAACTTGGTGACTTCATGCATCAGGTTGGTTACTAGTGTTAAGGTTCTATAATCAGTTTTAGTGTAGGCTAACATATTTTTGTAACAAACTGCGATAATTCTCATTTTAACACTATGATTATACTATCTTAACAAGTAATTTGTATAACAATTTGTACTGTTGCCTTAGGCTCCTTTTATGATAAATTAGGCTTACCTCCGCCTGTAGTCCAAAAATTTCAACAACAAGGTGCAGACCTGAAAACCATGTTGTTTAAAAATATAAGGTGCTTAGTAGTTGTGTTGCGAGGTATAGATTGTACATTTTCTGGTAGGCCTAAACTAAATGTTAATATTGTTCAAATAAAAGGATTATGATTTCTGCTATTTATTATTAAATGAAATGACATAACTTTCAATTAATGGATAGCAGCTAGCTTACCAGCTGAAAACGTAGAGCTAGGTCAAGGCACAGAAAATACACATTTTTTGTCCTTGTAGGAATTTGTAAATGTAGCAAAGAGTTTAACAACATTTTTAGTGTGTCTTCTGTGTGCATGACCTTCTTGTAAAGATCAGTTTTATTAGGATTATCGGTGTAGGAGGCGATGAGAGTCACATTACTTGATGCTAGTGGTGTTAAATTAATCAATTATAGTTAAATTAATAATTATTGAAGTAATGGTACTTGTAAAGATCAATTTAATTAAGATGTGTAGGAAGTTATGAGGGAAAGACTCCCACCAACACCGAGCGAGAGTCATGCTACTTGAATGATTGATAATTGATGTTAGTGGTAATAAATTAATCCGTTTGTTGAAATGACTGAGCAAAATAACTAAAGAAGTGATGGTGGGAGAGGAAATTTGTGTGCGCTCATATTGTCCCACTCTAATTGGCACTTTACTTTTTCAAAGTTAAGCTAGCAGCTATCCCTTTATTCTTCAAATTTTACTGGTCATGTACAGAAATCAACCAAGGTGCACCTCAGGTGAATTCTTATTCTTATTTCTCCCGTTGTAGGACGGAGGTATTCTAGTGAACAACCCTACGGCCCTGGCAATACACGAGGCCAAACAGTTGTGGCCTGACGCACCTATACAGTGTGTGGTGTCCTTCGGTACTGGACGGCATCTACCACCTCACATGACAGAGCCTGCTGTGGCTCCCACCACGGGCACCTCATGGAAACAGATCTTTGACAAGATATTGGACAGTGCTACAGACACTGAAGGTAAAGTAACAGTGATTTAATTCTGCCACCCAGTTGTTTTTCCCGTATTAGTAAGTATGTTTACGTTTTGAGGGGTAGTTATGTGAAAAAATAAAGTTCACACAATGTTTGGGTTCTGAAATCTGATTCTGTCCTTTTAGGTTAGATAATACTGAAAACCCTGTGAGTACAGTATAAACCCAACCAAATCTCGAAAATCAAACAGGAGCACAGAGAACTGTATAAAATTCTAATCAAAATCAATTGAATCTCAAAATAAAACAAACATTTGTTGAGATTATAGTAGGCAAACACAATGAATATTTTTGCTAAAGGAACGTAAGATTATATGCCAGCCTAATATTTTTAAAAAGTGAGTTTATTTGCACTGATTCTTAAGACATAGGCCTATCGTGGTAGTAAAATAAATCTATGTAGCATGAGACTTTGTTATAACCTAGACAGAGGCAATTATATTACATCTCAATTGTATTTTATGTGTTAACAAAAAGCTTTTTTTACCAGTGCAGTATAACTTTATTGTAATTTTCTAAGGTTGTTAGAGAACAACCCAAATTGTCTTGTTACTACCTATCTAACATCCACATTCGTTAAATAGCATAATTAATTGATAGCTTAACGATAAATGGCATCTGTGGTGGAAATAAATCCAGCAAAACCCGGATTTTAAGTCGATCCTTGCTAACGTTTTTTAGCAACTAACTGTTTCTCTTAACAGTTGTTAACAATAGTTTGTTTGCTACAGCTGTGCACACTGTGCTGAATGATCTGCTGCCACCAAATGTCTATTACCGCTTCAACCCTTACGTAACGGAGATCGTCTCCATGGACGAGATCAGGCCGGAGAAAATCAACAGGTTGGAGCTAGACGCGTTGATGTACTACCGACGAAACGAGGAGAGCTTCAAGGAGGCAGCTGATGCGCTTACAAAACCAAAGACAACCGCTCAGAAATGTCAGGACTATTTGGACCTGCAGGCAACAATGTTAGGGCTGAAATAAAGGGATAAACTAGTAAATAAAGTGGTCCAAAGTATTGTTAACATTCCACAATATGGTAATAATTGACAATTGCGATACAAAAATCTAAGATTACTTTGTTTTTATGCAATTTTCTTTAAAGTTATAAGAAATATACACTGACTTATTAGCTATCTAATGAACATAATATATAGTGCAATATTCAAATGATCAGTTAAAGTTGTCTGGGTACTCGCCTTTAAAATTACAGCTTCTTCCCCATAGGTAAAATTCATTAGAAGTACACAACATGATTTTGCTAGTTATATGGCAGATTGGTTAGCTCAGCTATTTTTGTTAGCCAAATTATACTTGTTGATTTGTGATTCATTAACTTTTATCACCGTTAGATGGATAACATAACTGCATTATCAATGGGGTTGTTGATTACTTTTGCTTTTTATAGAAAGGTCAATGTTGGATGGATGCAAAACACAGTTAAACTCCAAATTGCTGACTCATTTTACCAGTGATAAAATTAATCATAGCAATTTAAAAAAAGGTTTTAATCAAATAGTAATAGTAGTCTAGCTAAATAAGCTTAATGCAGATTCTTGTAAAATAATACACCCACCTTTAAAATTCCTGAAAAGTATAGTTAAAAAATGTTTCATTATGAAAAAGTCTATAAAATCTTATTATTCCTGGAGCAAAGTAAGTAGGCCTAATGTTTTCTGTTTCAAAAGCAATACCAAAAGAGTTCCTTGTAAAAATGTTGTTGTATAGTTTTCAACTAAAAAAACAAATCTCTAATAACTAGAATAGATTAAGTAATAGTAAATAGTTGGAAAATATATATTTACTTGCCTAATTAAACATTTTGCTATATTTGTTAGTTTCCACTTTTTTTTTCTTTTTTTTCTGTTAATACTATGAGGGAATATGTTGTTCATGTATTTTATTTCTGGCTTTTCTTAGCTGATTATGTCATTCAATTTAGAGAGCCTAGAATAATGTGTCAATCTACACTAAAATGAGTACAAAAGTACAACAAGTTCTCTGTTTCTCTTAGTGATACATTTGACACATCACTTAACAATTATTTATCCTAGGTGGCTGTGAAAACAATGTGTAAACAGTCTTATCAGCTGTTTTACTCCCATCATGCAGTATTAGGAACGACTAAAAGTTTAACATCACTATCACTTAAGAATCCCCTTCTTCTCTTTGTGCTTTCTAAAGTGTGAAATATGTTTGATTTTAGACAGAAGCATTTATTTTTTTTATGTTAGTATATCTGTTTACTTCTGAACTAGTAGGTGAAAGATCTATTTTAAAATGTATACAGACAAAAATATAATTTTATAAGAGCATAAACACTGTTTTAATTTTATGTAAGATTTTATCTCTTTAGTTAACTATTGTAAATTCTTTAGAACATTCATTAACATTATTATTTTCTAGTCAGTAGAGCTTTTAGAGATCTATTAAATTTTGTGATAGTAGTTTTATTGAGTATTCATGAAACTTTGCTTCTAAGGTGATAAATCGTTCTTTATTTCTATAATGTAAATATTTGTCTATATTGTAATTTTGTACACTGTTTGACAAATACACCTATTTAAATATTCTTATTTATTAATTTTCCATTCACCTTTAATCACCCTTATTTAATAGTATGGTGTTTGATGGTGGCTCATCACCAAGGTGTTAAGCTACTCTTTTTTGCCTGTGTGATAAACTGGAAGCCACTCATCCTACACTCATCTCCATTCATACTTGGCTTAAAATACTTACTTTGTATGGTCACCACTCGCCATGTCATTGAAAAGTATTAAAGTATATATTTTGCCATATTGCAACATTATTTTACAAACTTTGTGAGGAAACAAATTTTTTAATACGAATCAGGAGCTGTTAAGTACTTTATTCAATCATTTAATCTATTACGACTGTTTAGTGTACATTATACCATTGATATCTTTAATATTATAAATCTGAAAGTTTGTGTGTTGCTCAATCACGCATTCACTACTGGACGGATTGGGCTGAAATTTGGCATGATGATAGCTCACATTCCTGATGAACATTTAGGCATATTCTTATCTCAAAAATCCTATCGGGCTCCACACTAGTGGCTCTGTAGTTCCCTATGTTAACCTTATGAGCATTCTTAAAATTATATATATATATATATATATTTTTTTTTTGTTATCATATTTTAAGGGAATTAAAGAATTTAGTCAGCTGTTTCAACTTTACAAGTTGGTTCTATAATATCATTGACTATTGGATACAGAAGATAATATGCAATAGCATTATCTCTATCACGCACAGGTCATTGTGACCCATGTGATATTTTTATTTCTTAATGTATTGCTGCAAAATAATGTGTATAAATAAAGAATTTCTCTCTCTCTCTCTCTCTCTCTCTCTCTCATTAAAAAGTTATTAGGTTTCCCAACAGGTTGCAGTACTATTATTATTTTGTTTTAGCGAATTTCCCTATAGGGAAGTAGCTATTACCGTAGGTGGCATGGTAAGACCTAAGCCCGGGAGCGATTTACTTTTTCATTTTGATGTCCCCAGAGGCCAAAAACACCATTCGTTCAAATTTTTATATATGTATAAAATAGATTTATATATATACTAGCTGACCCGGCGAACTTCGTATCGCCTAAGTTATAGGTTTCCCCTAAGACAGACCGATGGAAAGAAAGTACCGTTACGTTTAATTTTCAAGATGATCTCGTTCGCATCGCTCAATCACGTCCTGGTTGAAGTTCGTTCGCTACGCTCACTCACCTTTGGGTTGGAGCTCGTTCGCTACGCTCACTCACCTTTAGGTTGGAGCTCGTTCGCTGCGCTCACTTGCCTTCAGGTTAGCTCGTTCGCTACGCTAACTCGCCTCCAGGTTGAAGTTCGTTCGCTACGCTAACTCGCCTCCAGGTTGAAGTTCGTTCGCTACGCTCACTCACCGGTTGGTTGCAAATTAGCTGTTGTCATAAATGTAAAAGAAATAATAGTGCTGCACCCTGTTGGTAATCCTTGTAACTTTAATGCTATTGAACATCATAGAACAGAACCAACTTGTTTAATTGAAACAGCTGTTAAGATTCATTAATTCCATTTCTCATAAGGTTAACATGGGAAACTCCAGAGCCACTGGGGCGGAGCTCTTTTAAGAATTTCGAAACGGGAAATAGTTTACGTCCGATTCGCATACCTACAGAATTTACACACCAAATTTCATAACGATCGGTGAAGTCGTTCCGGAGGAGTTTGCAGACAAACACTGTGACACGAGAATTTTATATATTAGAGATATATATGTGTCCGTGAACGCGATAACTTGAGTAATTTTTGTCCGATTTTGATGAAATTTGGTTTAAAGGTGTAAAGCGGGATAAACTTGAATGAGTTCGCGAACCAGCATGATCAGACCATGGGAACAGGGCTTTACGGGGGGTTTTATGGGGTAAAAATTGGTTTTTCTCACTTTTGACCCTCAAAACACAAAGTTTCCCAATTTCTCTTTATACCTTTTTAAAGAGCTTAAAAAAACAAATAATTTAGTATATAAAAGTATTTTTGTACGGTTATTGGTAACGGAGAAAATTTAAAAAATTTAAAATTCCCATGTTATTCTTATGGAGAATATTGTAAAATGTTGTAGTTTGGTTGTTTATGGATATATTTTGATCAATCTTGGCAAACTTATTTATTTTGTACTAAGCTATTAATATTTTACTAAAAAACACACTTTATTAGTTTCCTTGTAGCAGCAAACCTAGGTACTCATTTAAATAAAAAAAAATAATAAAAATAAAAAAAATATATATAAAAAATACATAATATATAAATATATATATATATATATATATATGTTATATATATAAATTTATATAATATATATAAATATAAAAAATATAAAAAAAAATAATTGTATATTGGTTTGTTTGGACCGTAAAAAAATATATATATATATATATATATATTTAATTGAAAATCAATTCAGACAAATGGAAATTCGCTTAGTTGTCAGGTTTGCTGCGACGGGGGTATTTTCATATATGACAACAGCTAATCTTAACTAAGCAGCAACAAAAAGCTGTGATACACAATAAGAACTGTCAAAGTAGGATTGTTTACAGTTAGGTTTGAGTTTTTAATTTAATGAATAATTTTTGATATTGTGCGAATGTTTGATTTTTTAAATTTTATTAAACTGCGTGTCCTCCCCCCATTCCCAATGCAAACGCAAAGCTTGAGTATAACTGCAATAAGTATTTTATAGTTATATGCCAACACCGTACAAAGGACGGGTGCTCTGCTAGTATTGAAATATTTACAAGAATGCAATAATAAGCTACAGACAAATAATCAATTCGGAATTACTACACATGCCATTGCTTACAGTCGAAATTCACAACGGCTGAATTTTACTCCCCATAGGGACTAAAAAGGCTTTCTACTGCTGTTTTTGCTTCAGTGTGACGAAAAATGTATATTTAGTTATGGTTTTTTAAAGTATAGATGTTGGGGGTGTTTATGCTTGGGGAGAGGCCCACATGAAATAAAATGCAGGCAGTGAGAATAGTGAGAAGGTCTGAATTGTACCTAGATTATGTCAATTTTATGAAAAAGTAAAAATAAGTAAGTAGGCCTACATATTATACCACAGCCGCCTTTAACTACAGGCCGCGGCCTTGTAGAATTGGCAACGTTGCAAGTGGTGCTGTCCAGCCCCGGAAGTCCCATAAGATAACATGGAAAGCAAGTGACACCAGCTCAGTAATTTACGGATTATTTATTTAAATTTAAATGTATGATTAATGATTATAAATCCATTAAAATATTTAATATAAAACATATAGTGTTCTAAACCAAAACAATTTTAATTGAAAATCTATTTCTACATTCAAACAGGAGTCGTTTTTTATAGCCCTAACCCACTAGCCCAGTGACCAATCCGTCCAATGTCCTACTCCTAGCCTATCCTATTCTAAAAAAATTCTCATTTCAAAACTAGGTAAGTTAAGCCCGGTTTTAGTCTTGTAGTTCAAAATAATTTATCTTCTCGCAACTCTGACTGTTCTGTTGGTTAGTAGGCTACTTGGTTTAAAGGAAAATGCAAGATTTACTTGACAGAAAGCAGGGCCGTCCAGAAAGCTCACTAACTTAGTAGCCTAGTAAACAAATATTCTGATAAGTTATACCAGTACCAGTAGCTTACTTAGTTGAGTTGACACCGAGCCAGTAACTTAGTTTGTACACTTTACAAATCAAACTAATAAGAGTTAATGACAAACGTCTTTGTGTTCAATAACGAAAATTCAGATGTTTTCCTTTATTTTTGTTGGTACACAACTACACAAGCCTTGATTAGCAATGTGTTTAAAATTCTTGTGAAGCTACAGTTTCACCCTAACCGTTGAAAGAAAAACCTCTAATCTAAAAACTCATTAGGCCTATTTCTTTTTCTAATGGCTTTACTTTGGTTGGACTAGGTAAGTTACAAGGATGATCAAACAAAAATTTTATCTCAGTCTCCCAAGCTGATTTAAGTTAGAGCTAATGTTAGGGGATATGGTAATTATAAATCACTTTTGAAACTTTAGAGTATTATGCCTAACTTAGGTAGGCCAAATAGTTTAGGCCCACAGGCCTGTCATTGGCATCTACTGGTACAGCTAAGCTAACACAAGCTTTGATATTTATTTATTTATTTATTACACACACGGCAAACGCCATTTTACAGGAGATTTGAGTTGAGATTGATAGTTAGTGCGATCAATAATTAAATATTTTAACAAATATGAAATACTAATAAATAATATGAAATATAATAGTAGTGGTGAACCCAGAAAGATACCCCACTTTCGGCGTTTTGGAGGCACTTTTAGGGCACTTTTTATAGGGGAAAAATGAGAAAAATGAGTGGCTCATTTTTTTGGCCACTTTTTTAAAGACCCAGCTCTCGACCTATACACCTCTATATAAATTTTCTACTTTTTTAATACTGAAAAACACGTCTGGAATATGGCTCATTTTTTTGGCCACTTTTTAAAAAATCCAGCTTTCGTCCAATACACCCCTATATAAATGTTCAAACTCTATTAACATTTCAAATCCACATCTATTCACATGTATATTCTCAAAATCATGTGAGATTTGCACGCGAACTCGGGCGCGCTCCCAGCAAACTTGATCATAATGATGTGCTCCCTTGGACATCCTTAGTGGAAATCCATGAGTTCTGGCTACTTGGGAACCCAAGCCATTTGACATACAACGAATCACCCTTTCTCCTAATTACCTTCTCTACCAAATACATGTCCTTATACTTGGTCTTTAACAACTCCTCTGTATAGAAGCCTCCCCTGATTATATTGCCATTTTCATCTTTCAAGATATAAGTCACAGGCTTTGTATTCTTCTTCTGCTATTGTAAATAGTTCCCCTGTCCAATTTGGAGTATAACCTTTACTAAAAACATGTTTATACTTGGAAATCCTTACGCTATCACCTACCTTATATCTTGGCTTTTTAACTTGCACTACTTTAGAAGTCAACCTCTCATGCACATATTTACTATTCTT